TAGGGCCTCACATAGCTGTGCCAGGCCCTAATCGCCAGGGGCCCCCTTATCCCCGCCCCCCTTCTGCTCTGCCAAAGTCAGGCCCCATGGGTCCCGAAAAGGCCCCCTTGCTGCTGTCTCCATGCCCCCCCTCTGGGCCCATGTGCCCTTTCGGGTCTCTTCCACTGCTGGTGTGTTTAATTTTTTGAATGGGGTGCAGGCAGATTACGGGCCTCACATACTGCTGCCGGGCCCCCTAATCTGCCAGGGCCCCCTATATACCGCTCCTCATGTGTCCAAGTCAAGTTTGGGGGCCCCCTGTAGGCCCCCCTTGTGCTGTCTCCTGCCACTCTGCTCATGGCCACTTAAAGGTCTCTTCACACTGCTGGTGTGTTAATTTTTTGACATAGGGGCAGGCAGTACGGGCCTCACATAGTGCTGCCAGGCCCTAATCTGCCATGGGCCCATATATACCGCCTCCTCATGCTGCAGCCAAGTCTAGAGTCTCTCATGGGTTCCCTGTAAGGCCCTCCCATTTGCTGCTGTCTCCATCGCCACACTCTGCTGCATGTGCCACTTTTCAGGTCTCCTCACACACTGCTGGTGTTGTTGAAATTTTTTGAACATTGGGAGCAGGACAGATTTAAGGGCATCAATCTATAGCTGCTGACCAGGCCCCTAATCTTGCCATGGGTCCCCTATATACCGCCCTCCTATGCTGCTGCCAAGTCCAGAGTCTGTCATGGGTCCCTGTGGTCGGCCTCCCATTTGCTGCTGTCTCCATGCCACACTCTGTGCCATGTGCCACTTTCAGGTCTTTCACACTGCTGGTGTGTTAATTTTTTGACATAGGGTGCAGGCAGATTACGGGCCTCCCATAGCTGCTGCCAGGCCCCCTAATCTGCCATGGGCCCCTATATACCGCCTCCTCATGATGTGCTGCAAGTCCCGTAGAGTTCTGTCCATTGGGGGTCCTGAACACCGGCCCTCCCTTGATGCTGTCTTCATCGCCCACACTCTGCTGCAAGATGTGGCCACGTTTCTGGTCTATTCTCACTGTATGTCGCTGGTGTGTTGATAAATTTTTTGGCATAGGGTGCGAGCAGATTACGGGCCTCACATAGCTGCTGCCAGGCCCTGTAATCTTCCATTGGGGACCCCCGTTACGACTCCTCATGCTGTGACGTTTGCAACAAGGTGTAATTCAACCCTACATATGTTTAGACCGCCTTTTACGAACAGCTAAAGGCCCATCACAGATTTCACTGATGTTAAAAGCGGATAAAGGTACTGCCCTGTGTAACTTAGATGTCATCCATTGTCAGCTCATGTGTGACACCTGCGCTTGCTCAGGCCCTTTGAGGAGGCCCACGCTATTCGTGGAGTCGGCAGGACTCCTATGGGATGAATGAGGTCAAATCGGCCATGGGCCCCCGTACCGCCTGTTCATACAGTAACATGCTGATGCTGGTCCCACAGTGTGACCTGGGTCCCTGTACGGCCTCCCATTGCTTCCACTCTGCCATGTGCCACTTTGAAATCTCTTCACACACACTCCTGCGGTTGTCCATTTTTTGACATGTCATAGGTTGCTGGCAGATTACAGGCCTTCCCATAGGTGCCACCAAGCCCCATATCGGCCATGGGCCCCCGTACCGCCTGGTCACGCGCTGCTGCTGGGCCCATAGTGTGAGGTCCTGGGTCCCTGTACCGCTCCCATTGCTCCCACTCTGCCTCTGCCATGTGCCACTTTTCAGGTCTCCTCACACTCCTGTGGTTTCCATTTTGTCTCATAGGTTGCTGTATGGCACTCCCATTGCTGCTGCCTTTCCACCGCCACACTGTGGCTCCAAACACTGGTTTTGGCCCCGTGACTGGCCCTGCCAAAGGAGTGAAGTGTGCAGTGATTCTAAGATCGACGGCATGGTACTCATCTGCATGTCATACTGACAGACAGTATTATTTCTCTTCCCCAGCAGACTCCAAGGGCATTTAAATTAAAGGTACAGTGTTTCTGCACTAATATTAAGTCTCTCTGAAGCCTAGAAACACCCTTTTTTAAGTTAAATTCACAGCGAATTTATTCGACTCGAATCGAATATTGTCCACGAATTCGCCGAATCAGTCGAATCGAATTTTTCATTTCTTCGCTCATCTCTAATTGGGATATATAATTAGCTTTATAAAGATTTTTCTGTGAGGGAGTGAGTTTTTACTCCCAGATACTTTATTTCTCTATCTTTCCATATAAAGGGAAATTCTCTCTGTATATTTTCTTTTTCACTCTTTGGAAGATTTATATTTATTATCTCTGTTTTGCTCGGGTTAATTTTTAGATTTGACATTTCCCCATATTCCTTCAATGTTTTCATTTGGTTAGGAAGTGTTATCCTCGGGTTTCCAACATAGAATAATAAATCATCCGCGAAGGCGGCTATCTTATGTTCTGTCTTTCCAACATTTATTCCCCTTATATCTATATTCTTCCTAATTGTTGATAACAGGGGTTCCAATGATAAAACAAACAACAGTGGGGAAAGTGGGCATCCCTGTCTGGTTCCATTTGACATAGAAAAGGTCTCTGATCTCTCTCCGTTTACCATTACCATCGCAGCCGGTCCTTCATACAACTTTCCAATCCACTTTCTCATCCTACTACCCAATCCCAGGATCTCCAGTGTATCTAACATAAAGCTCCAGTTAACCCTGTCGAACGCCTTCTCCGCATCTATCGAGAGCAGCACTACTGTTTTTTTTTTCCGTTTTACTTTTCTGTATAAGCATCAGGGATCTCAACCCGTTATCTCGACCCTCCCTTCCTCTAACAAAGCCCACCTGGTCTCCATGTATCCAATCCGGCATCAGATCTCTTAACCTATTCGCCAATACTTTTGCATACAGCTTCGTATCTACGTTCAATAGTGATATCGGTCTATAACTTGAACAGTGGGTGATGTCTTTACCTTCCTTATGTATTAAGACCACCTGTGCCAGAAGGGATTCCTGTCTTATCTCCATCTCTCCCCCCAACGCCTCCATATATCTCTTGAGCTTGGGTATCAGTAAATCACCATATTTTTTATAATATCTCACGGTATAACCCGTCTGGGCCTGGGCTTTTCCCCGTCTTAAAGCTTTTTAATGCTATGTTTAGTTCTTCCTGTGTGATTTCAGATTCTAAGGAGTTTAATAGTTCTTCACTTAATTTTGGTAATCCTGCATTTCTTAAATAATCCCTTCTTTTTTCAATATTTATCATTTTATCTTTATTTATGTCTTCCTTGGGGGCAATATTATATAATTTACTGTAGTAATCTTTAAATACCTTTGCAATGTCTCTGGTTGAATGGACTAACTCTCCCTTGGAGTTTTTTATTTTATCTATATAGTTCCTATTCTTCTTTTTCCTCAGGGCTCTCATCAGATATTTTCCTGATCTGTCTCCCCATCTATATCTTTCACCATTGATCTTATTAAAGGTTCTCTTTTTTTCTTCCTCCATTACCTTCTCTAGTTCTTCCCTCTTTTTTATCACTCTTTGCTCTATATCTTTTCTTATGTTATTTTTATGTAGGAGTTCCATCTCAGCTATTTCCTTCAAAAGCCCACTGATCTTCTCTCGTCTTTCCCTTTTTTTTTTCCTTGCCCCAATTGCTATAAGGATTCCTCTTACATATGCTTTATGTGCCTCCCACACTGTAGCTAGTGATACATCCCCTGTTTCATTTTCCTCAAAGAACCTCTCTATTTCTACCCTGATCTTCCGGTCAATATCTGGATCCATGAGGAGTGTCTCATTCAACTTCCATGATAGGCCTCCTGACACCTTCCCTCCCCATCTTAATTCCAATACTACGGGTGCATGGTCCGAGAAAGTTATTGCTTCTATTTTTACTTTAACCAGATCCTCAACAAGTCGATGGTCCACCAAAATATAGTCCAATCTAGAGTATGTCCTATGTACACTAGAGAAAAAAGTATAATCTCTATCTCTCATATTAACAATTCTCCAGCTATCCACCAATTGGCACTCTTTCATCACCGTTTTCAATAATCCCATGGAACCTATTTTCCCCTCTTTGTGCTCTAGATGTTGTATCTATTTGTGGATCCATACATATATTAAAGTCTCCCGCCACTATTAGATATCCCTTTCCAAAGTCCATCAATCTTCTCATAACCCCTTTCAAAAACATCTCTGGCTTCCTATTCGGGCAATATATGTTTACAAGCGTGCATTCTATGTCCTGTAGTTTACCTTTCAAGAACAGAAACCTCCCTTCTGGGTCCGTCTTTCTATCTTCCAGTTCAAATCTAATGTTTCTTGCAAATCCTATAGCTACACCTTTACCTCTCTTAACTGGGGAATCTGCGTAATACCATGTCGGGTGTTGTCTAGAGTTTATTTTTACCCTTTCCTTTCCCCTTCCCCTTCCCCATACCTCTTCCTTTCATACAAGATGTCAGTTTTAAAAACCTCTATGCCCACTCCCACCCCAATTCTCTCCCTCCCCTCCACCCCCCCCTCCATCTCCCTCCCCCCAGGCCTCCTTTGCCTTTGGATCATGATCCTCCACTGATCCCTCCCTAGGGGTTCGGCTCCACCCATGACCGCTCACCTTCCCCCCCTCCTCCCCGATGTCTCCTTGTCTATTGACTCTCTGTTTCCTCTTCTTACCAGCTGCCACTCTCCTTCACCAAAAGTACTTAACTCTCCCTCCTCCACTTCCCAACCCGGTATCACTAATCTCTGCAGACCAAGTTTATCACAAAAATCTTCCATGTCTTCTGGGAATCTTAATATTGCTGTGATTCCATCTCTCCAACCGATTAAACTCACTGCACGGCCCCATCTGTATTTCACATTATGCTTTTTCATCAGTTCTAATAGGGGTTTCAGTGATCTCTTTCTTCTCAGAGTCTCTGCTGTTAGATCTGCAAAAATTTGAATATCTTTCCCATCATATGAAATACTTGTTCTTCCTTTGATCTTTTTCCATATCTCTTCTTTATCTACAAAGTCATGGAATTTAACAATTATATCTCTTGGTCTTTCTAATCTTTTTTTTGTTGTTGATATTTTCCTATCCTATAGACTCCATCCAATTTAAACGTCTCCACGTCTGTTTTCTCCATTATGGAACTCAAGATTTTGTCGATTAGCTCTTTTAAATCTTCCCCCTTTGTCAACTCTGTGACTCCTCTTACTCTAAGATTATTTCTCCTTTCTCTGTTTAATTGTTCTTCCATCATAAAAAGCAGTCTTTTCTGTTCTTTTCTATCTTCTTTTATCAATTTCTCTAATTTTGGGACAACTTGGGAATGAATTTGAACCTTTTCCTCCATTTCCTCCATCCTAGTTAACATTTGCTGCAATTCTTCCCGAATTGTCCCCATCTCTTGCTTTATTGATTTTTCCAGATTTTTGAACATCTCCGCCATTTCCTTTTTATTAGGTAATTGCAGGTCTCTTTCAAAATCTCTTGATTCAATCCCTTCCTTTAATTGTTGACTATTATATACCGGTCCCAGGGATAGTCTCGGGCTGTTATCCAGACTTATTTCCAACTCACTTTTTTTCACTTACTCCCAACGTTCTTTCTGGGGTCAAATTTCCCTGTGATACATACTTTTTAATCGTACTAGATTGGGAACTCTTGGACCCACTCCCTTTAGTATTTTTTCCTTTCATGTTGATTTTTAATGCTTTACTTTTACTTTCGAGGCTCTTCTTTCACTTCTCCAGGTCTTCAGACCCTCCCTAGGAATCCCCTATATCCTTATTTCAGACTCAATGCTTGATAAAATGTCTTTTTTTTTTTTTTTTTTTTTCAGAGGCACAAGGAGATCCAATATAAATCAGGTTCAAGAACATAAATCCAGTTTATAAATAATGCATAAAGAGTTGCAAAAAAAAACCCACAGTTAACACAGTTATCACTCACCCTCCACGTTGGAGTGTCTTTCTCAATACAGTCCTCTCCTGTAGCCGTGCTCTCTTAGGGGGATTCCTATGGGTCTCTTTTTTATATATATATTTATGCTGCTGATATGTCAATTGGAGGATTTGAGGGGATTTGAAGTTGGGAATGGTGTAGTTTGGAAGTAGTATGGCTGCATTCCCCCCCTCCACCAGTCCACCAGCTCACCCAGACGCCGAGTGTTGGAGCGTCAAGCTGACAAGCAGTCTCTCCTCCTGAAGCTCCCAGGGCTCCTTTGCGGCTGCCCACGTGTCTTCGCCGCTGCGTCCGTCTCCCTGGCAACCCTGCTCCTGCTCCTCCACTGCAGCCGCCGCGAGGGTTCCCAGTGAACCTCCCGGTCGTCTCTCTCCGGGATCCCACCAGGCTCCAGGCTCGCCACCAATGCTTCCCTCCTCAACCGGGTGAGTCTCCGCTCACCCTCCGGTGCAGCTGGTCTCTCTGTGGGAGACACCTAGGGAGGATATACGGGGGAGGCTAAGGAGGAGTGCTTACAGCACACTCTCTCGTGCCGCCATGTTCAGGCTCCACCCCCCCACTATAATTCTGGTTCAACCGCATCTTGAGTATGCTGTCCAGTTTTGGTCACCAGTCCTCAGGAAGGATGTGCTGGAACTGGACAGAGTCCAGAGAAGAGCAGCAAAACTAATAAGAGGACTGGAGGACCTCAGTTATAAGAAATGACTACAAGCATTAAACGTAAAGACACTTGAGAGGGTATATGATTACTATATACAAATACCTCAATGGTTATTCTAGCATAGGGAAGAAACTATTCAGTTTCAGGGAACTTAAAAAGACCACCCAACGAAATTGGAGGAGAAGCAGTTCAACCTTAAAATGCATAGGGGGTTCATCCTGTTAGAGCAGTAAGGATGTGGAATTCCCTTCCACAATCGATAGTGTCAGCTTGAAGTGTCGATAGTTTAAAAAAAACCTCTTAGATGTGCATCTTAGCAAAGGCAACATACAAGAATTTGGGAAATGGTATAGACACAAAAATACACCCACACCCATACCCACACAGATTGAACTGGATGGGCTGGTGTC